GGAATGGTCTAGGCTTTCCTGCCTGATCAGTGGGTTGGACTAGAAGACCTCTGAGGTCCCTTCTAATTCTGTTATTCTGTTTTTTGTTTTTTTTTGGCTGCAGAGACACATGCAGGCTTCCTCAGAGCATGCTTTCTGCTTCTTTTAGCCACTTTGTGAGGTGTTTGCACCCACCCAATCGTCCCCAGTGGGAAAATGGGGGAAAGTTAAAATGCTTAACTCTTTCAAGCTGGAAAAATGGCATGGGCATCCCAGAAGGGCCCTTCCTGTGTGTGCCAAAGAACGTTGTTTGTTAAAGGTTTCCTCTCCCTTGAAGGACACAAACAGCGTTGTCCTCTTCTGACCCCAAACGAACCTGGAATCAGTGAGGACAATCGGCAATGCTCACTGATCATCTCTGCCATTGGTTGACCCCTGTCCCCTCGTACAGAAACTCCCACCCACCTGAATGGCTCTCAGCCAATCGGAGAGCCCTTCATAGCAATCCGTAAGCAAAGAGCAGCTTTCCAAACTCAGACGAAGAACCAGATCCAGTTTGATCTGGTCCAAACCCTCAGATCAAAGGAGCAGGTCATAAGAGGTAATCTTCAAGTTATGACACAGTTGAGCCCAAAGTTTCTGTTTGCTAAGCGAAACTTGAGTGGGGTTCTCCCCCCCTCCTTTTATGTCCTTTCTCGCCATGATTGTTAAGTTAGGAAGACGGTTGTTCAGTGAATCTGGCTTCCCCATGGATTTGGCTTGTCTGGGAGGTCATAAAAGGGGATCATGCAACCACGGGACACTGCAACCATCATAATATGAACCCCTGGCCAAGCATTGAATTTTGATTGTGCCCACCCAGGGATGCTGAAACAGTTGTGTGAAAAACAGGTCATAAGTCCCTTTTTTCAGTGCTGTTCAGGGGTGGAATTCAAAATATTTTAGTACTGGTTCTGGGGGCGCACGGAGCGTTTGAAAACTGGCAATTTTAAAGCATGGAAACTGACCTTACCGTCAGTGCTGGTGAGTAAAACAGCTGAGGTGTGGTAATCCACTCTGCTGCACCTTTCAGCTGAGCTGCAAAGGAAATATAGGACAGGAAAGGGTGGGGCAGATGGGCGGGGCCAATTGCTGAGCGGCGCAACCAGATAACTAGAACCGGTGTGAACCGGCAGCATCCCATCACTGCTGTCGTCGTAACTTCCAATGGTCACTATGCGTACTGCTATAAGTTGAGAACTACCTGCCCCAAAGGTGCCTCCCCCCCCAAAGGCAACTGGACTTTGCTTGAAGTCATTTCGCTTCTCATCCAAGAAGCTTCTTCAGTTCTGACTTCAGAGCTGAAGAAGCTTCTTGGTTGAGAATCAAAACATCTTCAAGGACAAAAAATAAGTTCCAGTTGCCTTTTTTTGGGGGGTGAGGAAAAGCACCATGATCTGGATAACTGAGAATCTCCATGGATTTTGAGGACTCCCTCAATTCCCTCTGGCATCAGTCAGGCTGATCTTATCATGCCTTGGTAACCTATTTCTTAAGGCCATTTTTAAAAAAGCGAGCAGCTGATGATCTGGAAAATCTGTGGTGTAGATGGTTTTCTGCTTTTTTAAAAACAATTCTGAAAAATAAATCTTTTACTTTTAGATGTGGACTCAGGGGCATAATTGGAGATCATTGGGTTGGTCCCAAGTCAAAGTTTTCATCCTGCCCCCTGCCCACCCACTCCCACCAACACCCATTGATGAAATTGCTCAAGCGTGGAGTTCCCTCTGGGCTGTAACAATTGAGAAGGGGCTGTAAAAACTTAAGTCAGACAGTGGATTCCTCTTCTCCAGCAGCAGGTCTGATCTTTCACAAGACTCTCTCCCCTTACCTTCTCTGTCACTCCCTTTAAGATTGGGGTGACCTCCTCTTCTTTTCCATACTATTTCTGGATTGCAAAATTTCAGGTGTCCACTAGATGGCATCAAAGCACTTGAGATTGCTGAAGCACTTTGCTGCTGTCTAGTGGTGATTCCACAGCATTGCAGCCCAGCTCGAAGAGAGTAACAGAATAACAGAATTGGAAGGCACCTTGTAGGTGATTTTTTTCAAGAGGCAACTGGACTTTCTGGTTTTTCTTTGAAGACATTTCCCTTCTCATCCAAGAAGTTCCTCTCAAGGGAGCTAAGAAGCTTCTTGGCTTAGCAGCGAAACATCTTCAAAGAAAAACCAGGAAGTCCAGTTGCCTCTTGAAAAAGCACCTTTGAGAAAACCATGACCTGGAGGACTGAGAATCTCCATAGATGACAAGGGACCTTGAAGTCTTCTTCTCCCTGCTCCTGCTCAAGCAGAAGACCCTATTCCATCCTGGATAAATTGTGTCTAATTTCTTCTTCAAACCCTCCAGTGGTTGAGCATCCACAACTTCTGAAGGCAAGCTGTTCCATTGATTAATTGTTCTCACTGTCAGGACATTTCTCCTTAGTTCTAGGTTGTTTCTCTCCTTGGTTAGTCTCCATCCATTGTTTCTTGTCCTGCCTTCAGGTGCTTTGGAGAGTAGCTTGACTCCATCCTCTTTGAGGCAGCCCTTCAAATATTGGAGCACTGCTGTCATGTCACCCTTAGCCTTTCTCTTGTCATGAGACAAGATAGACTCCATTGCTGCGACTGTTCTTCATATATTTTCACCTCCAGCCCCCTAATCATCTTTGTGGCTCTTCTTCAGAGGTGGAATTTGGCCGGTTTGGACCGGTTCTAGTGTGCCGGTAGTGAAAATTTTGAGTAGTTCGGAGAACTGGCAAATAACTACCTCTGGCTGGCCCCACCCCTGCCCCACCCTTACTTCTCCTATATTCTCTTGTTTTTTTTAGCTCAGGTGGTTTGTGACGCAGAGCGGATTGCTCTGTCTCAGCTGAGCTAAAAAACAGCCCAGCTTGTTAGGAATCTATCCACCAATTAGTTGTGTTGGCAATATATAAACCAGCAATGTATGTTTGTAGCTTTAAGACAAAATCACTATATTGATTTGCACTGTATTGATTTGTGTGTTCCGATTGGTTGATTGTATTGCAGATTGCCATAAGAGGGAGCTAGAGATCATGGTTTGCTCTCTCTGACATGCTCTATCTCTGACATTCTGTTGCTATCTAAGGTTCTCTGCTGTGCTTATACTTTGGTATCTTTGTTTACTGTAAATGACAAAGGCAACTGGTAAGAAGACTTTGTAATGGGATATTCTTTGGACTGTAAAACGTATATGACCTGGACCATTTATTGGACTGTGCTACTTCTTAAAGTAAACTTTAACTCAGTTCAGTGTAGCTGTGTGTAGCTGGATAATTATTCATAACTACTCTCATAAACGTTTCCATGTTCCTCAAGGGTTATTCTGTACATATCATAACACAGCTCACCAACATTGATAGAGAGGGTGGCCTTTGAGCTTTGCGCTCTCTCTGAACCAGTAGGAAAAAGTTTGGGAACCCGCCACTGCTCTTCTCAGCACTCTTTCTATAGCCTGAACATCTTTTTGATATCGTGGCAACCAAAACTGGACACTGTATTCCAAGCGTGGCCTTATTCCCAAGGCCTTACAAAGTGGTATTAACCCTTCATGTGATCTTGATTCTCTCCCTCTGCTGGTGCAGCCTAGGACGGCGTTGGGTTTTTTGGGCAGCTGCTGGCTCCTGCTTAGGATAGCTGTGTGATACCTCTGATCACTGTGATCATTATCAGCGATAACTAAGATAGGTTTTTACTGTATGTGATCAGGATTGTCCAAGACTTGAGGCTGGCATGAGTAGCAAGGGAAACTCCCTGCGTTTGGAGACCCCCAGGCAGCTGCCTCTCCTGCCTTCACTTTATTTATAGCACTGCATGGATTCTGATCCTCGGTATCAGCCTGGCTGGTTAAACACCTTCATTGAATTCAGCTTCATTCTGGGCTCCCTATCAGTTTTCACCCTGCTCAGATCTGGTCAGATGGCAACAGCTGTGAGAGATATATAACTATCCATGCATTCTTTACAGCGGTCGTGCGTGCAGGACGTCTCAGGTTCAGCTAGATGAACCTGCTAGAATTAGTCGGAGGGAAGGAAGGAGAACTGAAATATATATAATATTTGCATTTTGATACCAGGGCCCAAAACATCCTCCTAATTATACCTGGATGATGTCAGGGCAGCCTTCTCCAAAACACGCCCTCCGGGTGCATGGAAATGTCAAAACAGTGGCAGCAAATTCATCAACATTACTTTTCCTCCAATATCTGTACGCCAGCTCTAATTTTGCCATTCCCTGTTTTGAACATTCTGTTTCACTGCTTAGGGATAAAGGAGTCCTAATAGTGGAAAATTTGACGTTACAGGAAAGTGGATCTGGAATAAATGAGGTGGGTGAGAGACTTTCCAAGAGTAAGACCATTTTGACAGAACAACCAGTTCTTTGGACAGCTTGTGGTCTACTGTTCATAAATTGTGTCCGGGAGTTCAAGTTTAGCACTGATGATGTTACCTAGTTGGTTCATGAAATGCCTGCAAGAAAACAATCAAGCTCAGAGAGCACCAGGGACCCCACAGCCCTCTTCTTCTTCCTCCTCTTCCTCTTCCTCCTCCACCACCACCTCCTCCTCTACCTCCTCCTCCTCCTCTCCCCCACTTTACAAACCCCACTCCCTTGTAGCACTGATGATGTTATCTATTGGGTCATGAAACATCTGCAACAAAACAATCAAGCTTAGAGAGCACCAGGGACACCACGGTCATCTTCCTCCTCCTCCTCTCCCCCTTTCATTTTCTCCTCCACTCCACACACACCCTCCCTTCTAGCGCTTAACTAGTTGGGTAATGAAACGTCTGCAAGAAAACAACCAAGCCCACAGACCTCACAATTACATGAACATATTAATTCACTTCTTAAAGTTGAAAGTGACTCTAAAGAAACTCACTTAGATTTGAGATTGACTCTAAGATTTTATAATGATCTTACCATCCTTGTCATTATATCTTCCAATAAATAAAAAAAAAAGCATGAAGCATGTTAGGCTGCAATTTAATTTTTTCTTTGTAATCTTTTTCAATTCACTTAACTGTATTAACTCATTCTAAGTCTCTTGGATGGGTTTCATCCACATTTGCAGAAAATCATGATGGTTCTGGAATAGACAGGAACAGATTTATTGTTCTTCCTCCGAGTCGACAACAGTAGTGAAGGCATGCTAAAAAAAAAAAAGAGAGAAAAAAGGGGGAAAGAGAAAGACTGAGGCAATTTTGTAGGATTATTGGAATTTGTAAAGCCACCCTGATTATTTATTTATTTCTGTAACATCTTTTGATGCTGCCACAATAAAAAAAAAGAAAGAAAAAAATGCAGCTTGCATTTTTTAAAAAGTACAAATTAAGGCATCCACGGGGGTGGGGTGGGGGGAATAAAAAGAAACAACCACGAAGAGAATGCAACAGTGAAAAAAATGTACAGCCTTAGAGAAGTATGAGAGAGAATTGCAGAGAGAAATTATGGCTGCCAGTAGCTTTCTTCATGTTTTGGTTCTTAAAGTTTGAATGAAACACAGGTAGTCCTTGACTTAGATCAGTTCGTGAAATGAAGTCACAACATCACTGAAAAAAGGGACACAACTATTTTTCACACTTATGACCATCCCTGCAGCTTCCTCCCATGGTCACGTGATCAAAATCCATTGATGGAGCACCCACAACTTCTAGAGGCAAGTTGTTCCACTGGTCAATTGTCCTCACTGTCAGGAAATTCCTCCTTAGTTCTAGGTTGCTTCTCTCCTTGATTAGTTTCCATCCATTGCTTCTTTTTCCTGCCTTGAGGTGCTTTAGAAAATAGGTTGACCCCTATTATACATTATAATGTATAGATAATCGATAGACAGATGGTAGCTAGCTAGATAAATGGATAGATAGCTAGGAGAGGGGGGGATGGATAGAGAAGGAGGGAGGGAGAGAGGGAAGGAGATGATATGACAGGCATGGATGAATGGACAAAGTAATTTTACTTACTTCAGATTGCTCCATTTCGTCTATCTCTTCAACCCGACTGAGATGAGGAGCTCCATATTTGTCAGTTAGCTCTGCCAGAGTCTTTGAAACTGCCTCCTTCTCAGCGGCAATCTTGGCCTGCAACAAAAATCCATTCGATAACCTCCAGAGATTAGGGATCGTGGGGAATGCGATCCAACTAACACGGACAAAAAAATTCTCAGTTGCAGCGGGCTGAGATGTCACCTCTCTTTCCATCATCCTTTTCTTCAAAATGGAGAGAGAGAGAGAGGTCATAAAATACGCACCTCATCCAGGAAAGGAAATCGGGTGAAGGAGTCGGCCTTTTTCTCTCCTGATGCCTTTGGTGAACTACCCTGGTCCTTCCTGGGACTGACTTTCTTGGGGGTTGACGTATTGTGGGGGGGGACTTCGCTTACCTCCATCTCTGCCTGGCGCTTCTGCTCCTGCAGGAGATCCTCAGTGCGGTCTCGCTCCATCCGCTCCCGCTCTTCCTGTTCTCGTTCCATCTGGGCCTGCAACCATTTCATGCGAGTTAGCCAAGAGTCACTCCCTCCAGGCTCCCTTGGTTCAGGTAAAAGAGTTTGCCTCAGAAGGGTACGCCTGTTGCATACCATTGGGGGCGGGGGGGACGACGACACAGCAGTGAGATCCTACCTGTTCCACTACCGATTTGGTGCTCGTGCGCACATGCGCACCTAACACACACACACACCTAACGTGTGCACAGCTTTCCACACACCAGCTGAGGCCTTGCGGCCTGCAGTGCCAATCAGCTGAGATGATAAAGAAGAGAAAAGCGCAGGGGAACTATTTTTCTTCTTTTTCCTCTCAGCTGATATGGAAGCTTTCCCCCCCCCTCCTCTCAGCGGATTGTGGGACGCTTTTTTCACTACCAGTTCAGTTGAACCAGACCGAACCGGTTGCATACCACCACTGGGTGGGGGTGGGGGGGAAGGGAGGACATAGACATGAAAAGAGAGCAGGGAGCTCCGGAATTAAATTCTGAGCTTAACGAAAAGAGATACGTGGTATTCATCCTTCTGGTCATGGCATGGAGGAGGCTTTGCTAAGAGTTTAGGATGCTTGCAACATCCTCATGATGTGGCCTTCTCCTATTATTTAGATAGAATAGAATTCTTTTATTGGCCAAGTGTGATTGGACTCACAAGAAATTTGTCTTTGGTGCATATGCTCTCAGTGTACATAAAGGAAAAATAATACATTCATCAAGAATCATAAGGTTCAACACTTAGTGATAGTCATAATAAGCCATGAAACCATACTAGGAAACAAATAAAACAATATCAATTGCAAAGATACAAGCAGCATGGTTATAGTCATAAGTGGGAAGAGAGAGGTAATAGGAAGGATGAGAAGAAGAATAGTAATACAGTCTTAGTAAATAATTTGACAGTGTTGTGGGAATTATTTGTTTGGTAGAGTGACGGCATTCGGGAAAAAAGTGTCCTTGTGTCTAGTTGTTCCGGTGTGCAGAGTCCTATAGCGTTGTTTTGAGGGTAGAAGTCGAAACAATTTCTATTCCAAAGTGGGTTTTGGTCATCTTTAGCCGCTCCAAATTTTAAAATTGTGCTTTCCCCATTTTTTCTTGACAATCATACTGCCATATCAATGTTCTGTCCAGTATCATTAATGATGAGGTCCAAAGGCTAAGATCTACCCAGCTCTTCCTGGCTCCATTGGGCTGGTTATAGATATACACATTCCCTTTTCTCCAGCTACTCAGCATAGTCTCTGAGCCATAATACAAGCTCTGGTTTTGGACTCTCCCCCCCCAGCCCCCCCCCCCAAGATGGTTGGTTGTATTTGGGTTACATAATTACATATACCCAGGTTACATCTACTGAAAGCAGAAATAATTTCATGCTGCCTCTTTACTTTTCTGCCTTTCTAATCTACTAATCTTAGACAGTAGATTCACATGTAACAAGTTCATCAAACCCCAATATAGGGGAGTACACAGTGAACGAATGAATAAAACGAATGGTAAATGAATAGCAAATAATAATACAGTAGATTCCAATGCTTAGTTCTCTGAAATGTATGTGACTTTAAACCACAAGATGTAGAGTCTGATAGGCAGCATAATTTTAGAGCAAAATCAGGTAGCTGTAATTGCTCTGCTAAATTAATACAGGTATACCTGGGCTAAATAACAACATTTACATTTTACATCTACAAACCAGCATTGGGAGGCTAATTTGCCTTGAGATATAATCTATGGAATTGATTCACTTTAAGACGGCTCGGTGAATGTTGCAAAGTCAACATTGCAAAACAAAATATTTTAAACCAGGGAACACGTATTTACCCGCAGTCTAAAACGTACAATCGGAAGACTTAAACGGCAATTATAACAGAAATATGTACTTTTTTTTAAAAAAATGAAAGGCATCCTACCTGTCTCTCTACTTCCAGCTTTTGCTGAATCAAAAGTTCTTCTTCTTTCATTTTTTCTAGCATTTCCACTTCCTTTTGAGCCTCCTCACGCTCTCGCTCCAGTTCTTCCCTGTCCAATTTCCTCTAAGGGTGAAATAAAACAAACATTTGACAGCTCCCACAACTGCAGGGCCTTTTAGAAAAATCGGGTTTTGTGGGTGGAAGTAGAGAGAACAGAAGGCCAGTCCTGAATACCAAGAGAGGGAAGAACAATGGAAAGAGAGGAGCAGGCAAGCCTTCCATTTTAGTTTCCAAGTGCCACCAGTTTCCCAAAAACTGGCCACACATATGGCAAAAGGAGGGAGCCCCATCAGGCCTTCAAAAGGAGTTTGAAGGCAGTTCGCCTTGGACTTTTTTTCTCTATGTCTGACACCCTCAAAACACAGAGAATAAGAAGCAAAGAACATCATTTAATGTTGGCTCTGCCTGGAGCCTGAGTAGCAAAATTCCCTTTTCTTCACTGCATGTGAGACTGAAATAAAATTGTGTTACGCCCTCTCATCTCACCTACAATGTATTTATGGTATGGGAAGGAGGCAGGGAGGGAGGAAAGGAGGAAGAAAGGAAGGAAGGCAGGGAGGGAGGGAGGGAGGAAGGAAGGAAGGAAGAAGAAAGAAAGAAAGAAAGAAAGAAAGAAAGAAAGAAAGAAAGAAAG